ATTTTTTTGTCCTTTTGACCGTGCTGTACCGAGTTGACGAGAATCTTTCAAAATATTGAAGCAGATTTTGCAATCAATGCAACCGTAAAAATAAAATTTTAAAATTATAAACTCAAGTCTGAAAAAAATTTCAGAAATTTAAAAATTTTAGATTCAATTTTATAGAAGTTGCAAATCCAGAAAACTAGAAAATATTTTTTTTAATTAAGGCTACCTTTCTATTTATTTTCAGCAAGCCAAACTTATAACCCAATGTTTCACTTTCGTAAGACAAACATTGATTGACTGTACCGAAACTCCGTGGTCGATTTTATTACAGCCCCCCATATCATAGTATTTTGTTTTGTTTCTACAAAACTTTGCCTATAAAGCTTTTGAATTGACTTATGCTATTTTAAAACACTTCACCTAGTCCTTCCATTTTTACTTTCTCGTATATACGAAGTATAGAGAAAGTCTTGTAATCGTGCAAAAAAAATCGAGATTTTTACAAATCTCGACGTTTTACAACTCCCTGAGTCGGAAAAAACATATTTTTGCAATCTTGTCCGTATGTCTCTGTGTAAGTGTGTGTGTGTGTCTGTCTGTGTGTCTGTGTGAGCGGGTGAATGGATTATTTATTTTGTATTAATTTATTTGGTGCGAATCTGTGAGTGCATGGTGGTCCAATGGGGAACGGCCACGGGTCCCCCTTCCGTCCGAAGCGGTCAGTATAAATTGGCCGCTCGGACGATTTTCTTCCTTTTTGACCCGCGGCGAGATGTAGGTCGGGTCAGGTTTCTGTGTGGGCGCGTGGCGCACATCACGCGTGGAGGTATTTGTTTTTTTTTTATACTTTATCTTTATGTGCTTTGTATGAATGCGACTGCCGATGTTTCTCGTTTTCTTTCATTTTCGTCTAAAACGAGATAGTGAGCATCGGCATGTCTGGTATGCACGTGGTGTGTTATTTTGAGAGATTTTAAATTTGTATTTTCTAAACCCGTGGCGTGTGTTTCGGACCACGTGGTTTAGGTCAGTGTGTTTAGGAGTGTTTCCTAAACTAGTGTGAATGCGTGTGTGCATTTACTTGATTGTTTTATGATGTGTTGTTATTGACTAGAATTGGCTTAGTCAATATTCGGTTGTTTTAGACAGTAATTAGATTAGCATATTTTAGAGGCCTCGAGTTTTAGGTTGTTTAAAATTAATGTGTGTGCTGTTTCGTGCAACGTCATGTTGAGTATCGCTTGCTTTGTGTCTGCCTTCATTGGGGCCTTAGCGGAGTGTGTTAACTTTAATGTTATCAATATGGATATTGTTTATGTAGACCAATGCCTTCGGGCTTCCTTGTGTAGGAAAGATTGGTTCTACAATGAATTTGTTTACACGTTATTTTTAAGTTGCTAGTTCTTCTTTAGACAGTGGTTAGTTGTTTTTTGAGAATTGCTTTTAGAATTGTATAGTAAGGATTAGTTTTACTCGAGGCTTTAGCTAGATAGTAGTAGTAGGTAGCATTTTGAACTTGTGTATATATTTATGTATATATCTGCCATTACCATGCATTTTTCTTACGTTTCCCTTTTCTTTTTCTCTTCCCCCCCCCCCTTCCAGTGAAGTTGCTTGGGCAACTTGGCTGGGTGTTTTGTTATATATGAATTGTTTTGTTTGGTGTAAAAAGTTTGTTGTGTACGTATTTTCTACGTAATGTATTGTACGTAACGTATTGTACGTAGTGGTTTTACGTAGTGTTTTGTTTGGTGTGGACTTTTGGATGTCGAGAATGGATGAAGGGAGGTTTCTGTGTGTCAGGGTCTGGACCATCCTAGACATAAGTCGGTGCAACACCAGCAAATGGTCGAACGTAATGTTTTGTTTCGTTGAGTTCTGTTTGTTTTGTATGTCTTGAGTGTTTTGTCTAGATTCTGTTTTTTTTATAATAACTTTTGGTTCCATATTTATTATTTTGTTAAATAAATTTTATATTATTGTTAAAGCTTTTTTTGTTTTCATTATTTAGACTAAGGTTAGGTTATTAACCAGTCTGGGTTTATCCAGGCTTGCACTGACCGGACAGTAGAAAGTTAGATAAGCTTAGAAGGATAGATTTTAAGGTATCCTCCCTAACAGGGCTTACATCTGTAAACACGATAACTTGAGTACCGTTACAGCTAGGTTGATGAAATTTCATATATAAGTATTTTATCAAAATCTGTATCAACTTTTGAGCAATTTCCGATAATCGGAAGTGGTACTTTTTCTACTTTGAATTTTTTAAAAGCCTATAACTTGAGCACTATTTCACATAGATTTATGAAATTTCACATGTAAGTAAAAGATCTAAGTCTCTACCTTCTTTCCAATTTTGAGTAATTTCCGTTGATCGGAAGTAGTAATTTACGCTATTTCCGATTTATTAAAAAACTAATGTAAATTTATAAAGTACTAATAATATGGCGCAATATTATGCACATTTTATTTGGCGTTCACTTGGTGTGCAATTCTTTTTTCTACGAGATTTTATTCTATATTAAAAAGTTTAAGTAGGCCTATTTAAAATAGATTAAACATCATGTCTATATCCCGAGTTCCCATTCCCTGTTGTTTTATATAAGAATATTCGAGAAAATTTAAGGGAGATCACTCCAGTTTAAAAAAAATAATTCTATATCTCCATTACCACGTGAAAACCAAATTGCTTTTGACTTTTTATAATTGTGTTTAATTACCGAAAATACTAAAACTTCAAAAGCATCCAATCTTTAGTAAAGTCCGACAAATTTAAATTAAACCGTGCATGATTTTTAAAAAATATTTAATGGCCTCTCAAATAACTTCGAGACTATTCTTGGAAGGGTCCACTATTACACATTAAAACGAAGGATTTTTTAAATCTAATTTACAATGAAGATTGCTTGAAAGTAAAACTAAATTGTATCCAACTTGAAATATTTTTAAAAACTATTATTTTAATTGAGAGGTTCGAATGACCCCTTTTATGATAATTTTTTACTACGCCACTGGCTACAGCTGTCCGTGACGCTAGTCATTTAATTTCAGTTCAATTCTTTAAATCATCTTATCTTGGTGTTTGACCCAAATGTAAAAGTACCGAATGTTTACAATTAAATTAAGATGATTAAAAATTAAATGTCCATACCCATCCAACTCTTCACTTAATAAACAAACGGTTTCTGAAGTCACAAAATAAAATTTTATCTCCCTTAAATGATTGGACGTGATCTGCTAGTAATCTTTAATGAAATTCTGCATTAAGTAAAAAAAAAAAAACACGTGAGCTTGATATGCATCATTATGTTGTGTACCTTGATCCCATAAATACACTGTGGTGACGTCAGTATTTTCTCGATGGAAGAAGCCTCCCTCTTTATGTAGATGCAGTTGTAGTTCTTTTAAAAGTGCATTTTTGACGGCGTCATGCGAGTAGGCGTTGATTACAGTCAGATCAAAGTTGACTAGCACATGCAACTCCTTACCACGAACCAGTCTAAATATGAAAAGCCGATATTTCTTTATCGTTGTGTGATTGTAGATATTTTGATCTTCTTGTAGTTGTAATTTAACTTTGTCTAATTGTGATGTTTCTTATGTGTTGACATTTTATATAGATTGTTTAGTTTGTAGTTCAAATTAGTTAATGAAACTGTGTTCTAGCCGAGTGTGCCGTCTTGATGAAACTCTTATATTTACACTCTGACAATGAAAGGATGTTGTGACACTGTACATTTTCCGTAGTGAGTTTATATCACGTATGTCACATAATCACGTATAGTAACAATATCACGTATAATGTGAAATATCACGTATTGTATAAAAAAATATCAAGTATCATGTCACAATATCAATTAAATTCTCACAATAGCACATATAATGTCACAATCTTACGTATAAAACTCATACTATCACGTATAATGCCACAATACACGTATAATGTCACAATTTCACGTATAAACCTGGGACCGCTAAAATGGATGAAAGAACTTACTCGCAGCTGACGACACGCGAGTTAATCCCACGTGGTAGTGATGACGTAATCTCTTTTAACTGGAAGAACCAAAAGTTCATATGAATGAATGTCAGAATTTTTCTTTTGTTGTTATCTTTCTTTTAGGATTTCTGCTAGGTTGGTCGTATAACCATAACTTTACCTTTTTACTGTCTCGTATAGAGAAAGTCTTGTAATTGTGCCAAAAAAAAGAGATTTTTACAAATCTCGACGTTTTACACCTCCCTGAGTCGGAAAGACATAATTTCGCAATCTTGTCCGCATGTCTGTGTGTGTGTGTATGTGCGTGTGTGTGTGTGCCTGTAAACACGATAACTTGAGTACCGTTACAGCTAGGTTGATGAAATTTCATATATAAGTATGTTATCAAAATCGTAGATCCGTATCAACTTTTGAGCGATTTCCGATAATCGGAAATGGTACTTTTTCTACTTTGAATTTTTCAAAAGTCTATAACTTGAGTACTATTTCATATAGATAAATTAAATTTCACTTGTAAGTAAAAGATCTAATTCGCTACCTCCGGTCAAATGTTGAGTAATTTCCGTTGAACGGATGTAGTAATTTACGCTATTTCCCATTTCTAAAAAAAAACTAATGTAAATTTATAAAGTACTAATAATATTGCGCACTATTATACACATTTTATTTGGCGTTCACTTGGTGTGCAATTCTTTTTTCTACGAGATTTTATTCTATTTTAAATAGTTTAAGTATTTAAAATTGATTTTAAAAAATGTCTATAGCCCGAGTTCCCATCCCCTGTTGTTTTATATAAGAATATTCGAGGAAGTTTAGGGGAGATCACTCCCGGTTTATTAGATAACATTTTACATAAACTTTTTAAGATTAGGTCTACATTTTACATTAACTTTTTAGATTACAATTTACATTAACTTTTTAGATTAAATTTTACTTTTTACATTAACTTTTTACATTGACTTCTGGCGATTTTTCTTGACAGTAATTTTTAAAATGAGTTTTAACACCAATTTTCAACATTTAAATTTGATTTCACCTTTCCACATAATTTTTGACACCAGTTTCTACTTTCTCGTAAATAGACAATAGAGAAAGTAGAGACGATCATGATGACTAATTACAAATAAATTTTGGGCCATTTCCATTAACTGGATCCTGTACTTATTCTACTACTGTGTCTAAAAAGCAAATAGGCAGATAAACAATATAGGCTTAAAAGCAAATATAGCAGTGCCCGTGTTATTTTATACCACCTCAATGGGCAATTATGTCGCGGCAGGCCTTTTTAGGCACTATAATACGTTAACCAACATTTAGGCCTAAATTATGGCTAGACAAAAGTATAGGAAATGTATCTGGTGTGAACACTCTATGATTTAAACTTTTAAAAACACTTATAGGCCTTCACTTTTAGTGAACGTTAATATCGGGTACAGAGGCCAGGGATGACGTTCTTTAAACGGGCGCCTGTGGAAATCCAACTTTTTGTTGGCCTCATAAATGGATGATACCTAAGACGTTGGAGGTGTGGTTTTTTGACGCTTATACAGGGGGGGGGGGCAGAGAAAAGAGGAACAGTGGGGGCAGAGAGGAGGGAGGAAGAGAGCATTAAGGGCAGAATGGGAACTGTGGGAGAGGAGGGGAACTGTGGGAGAGGAGGGGAACTGTGGGAGAGGAGGGGGACTGTGGGAGAGGAGGGGAACTGTGGGAGAGGAGGGGAACTGTGGGAGAGGAGGGGAACTGTGGGAGAGGAGGGGAACTGTGGGAGAGGAGGGGAACTGTGGGAGAGGAGGGGAACTGTGGGAGAGGAGGGGAACTGTGGGAGAGGAGGGGAACTGTGGGAGAGGAGGGGAACTGTGGGAGAGGAGGGGAACTGTGGGAGAGGAGGGGAACTGTGGGAGAGGAGGGGAACTGTGGGAGAGGAGGGGAACTGTGGGAGAGGAGGGGAACTGTGGGAGAGTAGAGCAGCCTGAGTATTTTATCCTGAAACATTTTAACCGGAAACGATAATTACTTGGAAGCGGAACTTAATCCTTCACTAGAAATTAAGCCGGAACCGGAATTTTTAGTCAGAATCGGAAAGCGCACCAGAAATAGCATTTTTTCCCATCCTAATATATAAAACGCCATGTGCGCTCTCTCTCTCTCTCTCTCTCTCTCTCTCTCTGTCCGCAAAAAATTTTCGCCGGACATCACGTCAGAAACGGCAGCGATATATGGAGAACTTTATACGGACTTTTGTTGAAAATAATATGTTAGATGTTTTAAATGTATAACCACAATTTTATTTAAAGAAGAAAAATAAAAATTAAAGGCGTATTCGAATGTAGAGAAACAGTATTATTTATGCAACCGGAAAAGCATTAATAAATGTGAAAAAGAACGCATAAAAATGTGACGTCACTATTGCTTATACATTAACTAATGACGTCATCTGCCGTGTTTAGAATACAAAGAAATGAACTATTTCATTCAAATTTGATTTAGATCTACGTACACTATGAAATGTATACAATACAATTTTTCCGGCCTAAACTCATAAAATTTATTTTATGTATTTGGATTCTAGATCTAGAAATTATAGATCTAGACTAAATCTAAATCTAAATCTACGCAATAACTAGATTAGATCTAGACGTAGACGCTAAGATCTAGATTTAGACTCTAACTTCTCTAAAATCAATTCCAAAAATAAATTTCTATATTAGGACTAAACTATTTCAAGACTTATTTATTTTATACAAAATCTTTGTTTGGAACTGGCTAATTTGGGATAAAAAAGTTAATTTGAAAGAATAGGCATATTCGCGTAAGTTAAGATTTTAAAATACGTGTTTCATTATCCGAATTTTATAAGGTGCCTAAATAGCGGAGATGTTAGTGTACTATAAACTACGCAGGTGGTGCGGGTTCGAGACACACCAAGTCAACTTGGTTAATGTGTTTTTTTTATTATGCTCGGGCTAAACTTAAAAAAATAAATTCTATTAGGATTCTAGATCTAGATCTAGATTGTCGGGTGTCCGATAGGGCAGTTCTCGGCGCCGCAGGCGCTACATATTTGGCAAGATCTTGCCTTGGGGCGACAGAACACGGGGGCCGGTTGGCCGAAAAGTCTACGATGAGGGGGTCAAAACTGACCTCGACTGACCGGTGCCTTATATGACCTATAAATCGAAAAAAAAATGTCCACGGAGGAACCTCTTCATAACTCTTGAGGTCGTAGACCGACCCTCGGGCGAATTAATTAAGCATTAAAATTCTCAATGTTTTCGAAAGCCTAAGCGAAGCTGGGCAGCATGCCTAGTTTTATAATATTTACTGTATCTGGAGATTAAATCGAAAGTTGAAATTTTACCGGACCGAAAATTAACTGGAAATTGAACTTGAACCAGAACTTTATCTGTAACTGCAGCTTTAAACAGAATCGGACCTTTAACGGGAACTATAAATTTAGAATCAAACTAAACTTTTAATTAAAATGAGCCACCATATGGAATCGGAAATAAAGATGGTTTAACTGAAACCGGAACTGTTATCGAACAGTGTTTCTTCCAGACTTTTTTCTCCGGGGGGCACTTGAAATTTTCGGGGGGGGGGGCGGTAGACTTTCTTCGGGGGGGGGGGCGGACACTGTTAAAATTATATATTTTCTATATAAATTATGTAAATTTCATTTCGTTCCGGGGGGCGGTAAAAAAATTTCGGGGGGGGGGGGGGGGGCTTAGCCCCCCCGAAGAGATGCATGGAAGAAACTCTGTTATCGAATCTGGATTAGGAAATCGAATATCACTGGAAATTTTTGTTCCATTTAAATAAAAGATTCTGGTTCAGAGGTTTACGTTCAGGTTTAGATTTAGGTTCAAGTGTTGGTTAAAGTTATGGTTTAGGCTCAGGTTGAAGTTCTTACTCTGTTTATAGCTGCTGATCCAGATAAAGTTTTGATTTCAATTCAAGTTCAACTTCCGGTTTAGTTCCTTACCGGTTGTAGTTAAGGTTAAATTTCCGATCAAGGATAAAGTTCCGATTCCAGATAAATTATCATTTTCGGCTAAAATTTGATTCCAGTTAAATTTTCGGCTCCGATTCCGAAGCCTTGGTTTAGATTGAGGTGGATGTATTTGTTTTGGTTTTGGTTTAGAAAAATAAGAGAAACAATATCAACCTGGCTTTATTATTTTTCCATTAAATGGGTTATATAATATATTATCATCTTTTCTCGTTCGTGACCAAGGACATATAGGGCAGATGAAGTAGACTTAATCTGCTTCAGAGACTTCGACATATGAAGAGATAGCGTGGTCAGCACTATGCCCAGCCGCCTTTGTTTCCCTAAAGCGAGTTAGATACCTTTTAGAGCTGGATGGACTCAGGGACGTTTCACTGATTTGAACCCAGATTCGAACTCGAGACTTTCGGGTTAGTAGTCTAGCTCTCTACCGCTATTCAACACCGTCCCACAATGGGTAATATGTCTAGTAGAATATATATATATATATATATATATATATATATATATATATATATATATATATATATATATATATATATATATATATATATATATATATATATATATATATATATATATATATATATATATATATAATTCTCTTCTTGGATACCCTAGAAAACACCGAGCTGTTAGCACGCCTTGCAGTCATCTCTCTCTTCCTCTCTAGGCATATCGCTACCAGCCCAACCCCTACATGGTCTGGTGAGCTGTGGTTCACGCTAAATGTTTAATGTTTACAATCGTAGAGCCGGGTTTAGTGACGGCTATTAGGGGCAGATAATTTAGTTTGAAACGATTTTAAACTTAGAGGAGGTAACTAAGAGGAGGCTGCTTTAACGGGGGGGGGGGGTTGGGGTTGGGGGAAAGGAGGGGGGAAAGGAGGGTGGGGTGGGGGTTATCGTCCTTAACGAGCTACTGATACTGTTTCAAAACAAATATTTTCAGTGGCAGCATTGGTACTGTCGAATTCAAAAATTATGAATTACTGAAAAGCAGAAAATAAAAAAAAAACTAGATGGCTACGTCGCGGGTCAGCTCGTATATATATATATATATATATATATATATATATATATATATATATATATATATATATATATATATATAATTCTCTTCATGGAGACCATAGAAAACACCACGTAGCTTATCCCACACCCTCATCCCCATCCGTCAGGTGAGCTGTGGTTCACCCCGAATGTTTACAATCGTAGAACTGGGTTAGTGACGGCTATTAGTGGCAGATAATTTAGTATTATACGGTTTGAAACGAAGGGGAGGTAACAATTTCTGATTGATCTTTTCTTTGACTGTAATCGGCTGCTTTCACGGAGCGGGAGGGGGGGGAAGGGAGGGGGAAAGGGATGGCGGGGGTAGTGTTGAATTCACAAATTATGAATAATAAAACAACTAGATGGCTGCGGGTCAGGTCGTATATATATATATATATATATATATATATATATATATATATATATATATATATATATATATATATAATTCTCTTTATGGGGACCATAGAAGACACCACGCAGCTTATCCACCACCCCCATCCCCACCTGTCAGGTGAGCTGTGGTTCACCCTGAATGTTTACAATAGTAGAGTCGGTTAGAATGTGACGGCTATTAGGGGCAGATAATTTCGTTTTTAAACTATTTGAAACTAAGGGGAGATAACAAGTTCTGCTTGATCTTTTCATTGTCGTCTGTAAACGGCTGCTTTCACTGGGCGGGATGGAGTGGGGTTGGGGAGTGGGGGAGGTAGGGCGGTGGGCTAGTGTCGAATTCACAAATTATGAATTGTTGATAAGTAGAAAATGAAACAAATAGATAGCGGCGTATGCTACGTCGCGGGTCAGCTCGTAGTTAATATTCAGTGTGAGGAGAAGGAGATCTTACAGCAAGTGCCACGTTGTTTTGAAAGTCTAAGAACTTTGGTGAATTTCGATCCTTCAAGTCCTCTGTAAAATCATGCTTGAATTTTGCGTAGGTCAAGTTATAGTTGACATCCAATGTTCGACCTAGCGTTAAAATATCAGACGGTTAATGACCAAGATTTTACAGACAAGATGTGTAAAACAAATTGCCCCAAATGTTTACCTGCCATTGGCGTAGAGTTAGAGCACATAGTCCCAAACGCGCAGAACTTGCAGAAAAGCGTAGATGAGTTAACGCAGGTCTGGCTGTTAGTGAATTCCGCCATCAGACAGTCCCTGTAGCCCAGACAGCGGGAGCTGATGGACAGACTTTCGCCATCCCACTCCAGCACCGTCTGACATGCATTCTAAAGACAGGTAACAAGACACATTCAGAGAACAAAACAGATAGCAAGACACAACTTAAACAAGACAGATAAGACAGATGTAAGACAGTAGGTTGACCTAGAAGACCGACCTGGGGTTTGGTGCAGAGTGTTGTCCCAGACAGCTGACACTCGTGGTTGGTCTCCGCCTGACTGCACGTCATACACGCGGTGCTGACGTCATTGAAGGCGTGAGTCCGTCTGGTTGCTAGTGACACAACAGAGAATGACCTCACAGAGTGACCTCACAGTGTGACCTCACAGAGTGACGTCATAGAGTGACGTCAGAGAGTGACGTCATAGAGTGACCTCACCAGACTGAGGCGATTAAGCAACCCATGGGGTTTAGGGGGGAGGGGGAGTGTGGATAGGTTATGGGGTCCTTAACTATAATTTAAATTTTGAAAGTTGACGATAAATTGGTGTCCGGTCAAAAAACCCACTGAACAAAAAAAAAAACCGCGACAAGAACCCCCTGAACATAAACCCCCCGCGACAAGAACCCCCTGAACATAAACCCCCCGCGACAAGAACCCCCTGAACATAAACCCCCCGCGACAAGAACCCCCTGAACATAAACCCCCCGCGACAAGAACCCCCTGAACATAAACCCCCCGCGACAAGAACCCCCTGAACATAAACACCCCGCGACAAGAACCCCCTGAACATAAACCCCCCGCGACAAGAACCCCCTGAACATAAACCCCCGCGACAAGAACCCCTGAACATAAACCCCCCGCGACAAGAACCCCCTGAACATAAACCCCCCGCGACAAGAACCCCCTGAACATAAACCCCCCGCGACAAGAACCCCCTGAACATAAACCCCCCGCGACAAGAACCCCCTGAACATAAACCCCCCGCGACAAGAACCCCCTGAACATAAACCCCCCCGCGACAAGAACCCCTTGAACATAAACCCCCCGCGACAAGAACTCCCTGAACATAAACCCCCCGCGACAAGAACCCCCTGGACGAAAACCCCCCGCGACAAGAACCCCTGGACATAAACCCCCCGCGACAATAACCCTTGGACAAACCCCCCCCCCCCCCCCGCGATATAAACCCCCTGGACAAAAACCCCCCGCGATATAAACCCCCTGGACAAAAACCCCCCAATTGAGTTTTATAATATAAGGAAAAACCAAAGATGATGAGAACCAAAATTAATATATAAATAAGAAACAAACATTAGAAAAAAAACTGTTTTATTTTTATTATAACTTTAAAAAGACAGATTGTGAGCAATGCCTCGCAAATACTCAATAATGGTGGACTCATTAAAAATTTTAACAACAGTTAAAATTTTAGAGCTGCTATCAATATTTTTTTTTCTGTTTTGGTAAACAGTGACCTGAATTAATTTGTGTACAATAAACCTCTTGGGGCGATTGTTCCTTTTTAATAAAATCAATAAATTTCCAAATATTTGTGTGGCAACATCCCATATTCGACTGGAAACGTCTGTGTCAGCCCTCAACTGAGTTATTTGATTTTGGCAAGTGGTCTTCTGCACGTGTGTGCATGTTCCACATATCAAGTGGGAACATAGGTTGTCTCCGACCTCGACGCTGTGGTCTGCCAATATAGTAGTCCTTGGTTCCAAACAAAAACATCCTACCTTTTAATTTGGCACCGGAATCGAACAGAAGAAATTGTTGTCCATCTTGTGTCATTGTATTTTATTCAGGAATGATTATATGATCAACATTCCTTGGATCAGACAGTGGGTGATTTAACGTTTGACGTTGACGCCTGATGTTACGCCGTATGTGTGGAACCGAGGGCAGCTTGGCCTTGGCATCTTCAGTAATCGCAGAGTGATGATCTGCTGGGTTTCTTTAAATAAACCTCAGTCCAGGGGTTATTATCCGGGGGGTTTATGTCGCGGGGGGCTTTAGTCCAGGGGGTTTATGTCGCGGGGGATTGTCCCGATGTAAAAGTTAACGATAGTTTTTTTTTCGGATGAAATGTGAAAGTTAACGGCAATGAGTCCTGATGAAAATGTTGATGATAGTTTGTCCTAGTGCAGGGGTCGGCAACCTTTTGAAGCAGAAGAGCCAAAAGTTACAATTTTCAAAATTTCCCTGGTTTTAAAGAGCCACTAACATTTTTTTTATTTCAAATATTTTATTTTTTTATTAAGATTATTAGTATTTGCGCAAGGAGCTGGAGAGCCGCATCTTGATATAAAAAGAGCCGCATGCGGCTCGCGAGCCGCAGGTTGCCGATCCCTGTCCTAGTGGAAAACATTCTCCTGCCTGTACACAAGCATAAACTACCTAGATGTTGGACAAATCTCTAGACAAAACAATACATACAGTATTGTGTAGAGTGGTTATTACAGGGATGTATTGTGTAGAGTGGTTATTACAGGGATGTATTGTGTAGAGGGGTTATTACAGGGATGTATTGTGAAGAGTGGTTATTACAGGGATGTATTGTGTAGAGGGGTTATTACAGGGATGTATTGTGTAGAGGGTTTATTACAGGGATGTATTGTGAAGAGTGGTTATTACAGGGATGTATTGTGTAGAGGTGTTATTACAGGGATGTAGAGGGGTTATTACACAGTGTGGTCGTTGAGAGGAGGTCAATGATGGGTAATGGCCTTGAGAGGAGGTCAATGATGTGTAATGTCCTTGAGCCAGGTAAAGCGTGTCAAATTTTGCTTCAATTCAAGGTCAATTCAAAATTTGTTGTTTTTTTTATAAAATTCATAAGACTTTCAGTTAGCTTTTGATATTGTTATCGATTCTGTAAAATTATTTAACATTAATAAATTGGTACTGGTGACTTTAGAATAGCTGTTGAGTATTATGTTTGTGAGTACAATGTTATGTTGACTTTTCTATATGTTTCTTTTTTACTTTCTCGTTAACATTTAAATGAAGGAAATGGTTTGAAGAAAGCAACAACATATGCTATGTTTATTATTAGGAAATAAGACCACTGGTCAGTTTTAGCGGCCTTTACGGTTTTTCTGATACCCCTCTTGGGTCTGCGACCTGACTAGTTACTAGGTGTTGGCGTTGAGATTTGTAGGGGGTGTTCTTCTTCTTCGTTTTTAATTTTTAGCGTTGGAAGGGATCAAGCCTTATCTGCCAGAGGGTTTGAACTCGAGACTTTTTTCGAATTTATCAACCATGTACTTTTGCCGACTCGACCACGCCTCCAACACAATTAAGGATACGCCGTTGAGGCCATTGACTCCGATTTCAGCCTGCTTTTCTTTTTGGATTTGCTTACATAGCCTTTGTCCAACCAAGAACAAACTACAAGGCAGCAGTTGTTTGATTTTTGGAGTTGTCTCTCCTAGAAGAGTGGCTGTCCCCAGTTGTCTCTCCTAGAAGAGTGGCTGTTCCCAGTTGTCTCTCCTAGAAGAGTGGCTGTCCCCAGCTAACGAGTTGTCTCTCCTAGAAGAGTGGCTGTCCCCAGTTGTCTCTCCTAGAAGAGTGGCTGTTCCCAGTTGTCTCTCCTAGAAGAGTGGCTGTCCCCAGTTGTCTCTCCTAGAAGAGTGGCTGTTCCCAGTTGTCTCTCCTAGAAGAGTGGCTGTCCCCAGCTAACGAGTTGTCTCTCCTAGAAGAGTGGCTGTCCCCAGCTAACGAGTTGTCTCTCCTAGAATAGTGGCTGTCCCCAGCTAACGAGTTGTCTCTCCTAGAATAGTGGCTGTCCCCAGTTGTCTCTCCTAGAAGAGTGGCTGTCCCATGTTGTCTCTCCTAGAAGAGTGGCTGTCCCCAGCTAACGAGTTGTCTCTCCTAGAAGAGTGGCTGTCCCCAGCTAACGAGTTGTCTCTCCTAGAAGAGTGGCTGTCCCCAGCTAACGAGTTGTCTCTCCTAGAAGAGTGGCTGTCCCCAGCTAACGAGTTGTCTCTCCTAGAAGAGTGGCTGTCCCCAGCTAACGAGTTGTCTCTCCTAGAAGAGTGGCTGTCCCCAGTTGTCTCTCCTAGAAGAGTGGCTGTCCCCAGCTAACGAGTTGTCTCTCCTAGAAGAGTGGCTGTCCCCAGCTAACGAGTTGTCTCTCCTAGAAGAGTGGCTGTCCCCAGTTGTCTCTCCTAGAAGAGTGGCTGTCCCCAGTTGTCTCTCCTAGAAGAGTGGCTGTCCCCAGCTAACGAGTTGTCTCTCCTAGAAGAGTGGCTGTCCCCAGCTAACGAGTTGTCTCTCCTAGAAGAGTGGCTGTCCCCAGCTAACGAGTTGTCTCTCCTAGAAGAGTGGCTGTCCCCAGTTGTCTCTCCTAGAAGAGTGGCTATCCCCAGTTGTCTCTCCTAGAAGAGTGGCTGTCCCCAGCTAACTAGCCTCATCTCGAGACTTCTCGGTTTAGCAGCCATGAGCTTTATCGACTCGACCACGCCGACCCCTTAGGGGGTGTTACCTTCTTGTTCTTCAAATCATTTAATTTTTTAATTGCTGATTTTTGTGTTCTTTCAATATTATTTTTTTCACACAATAATAAGGTACGCGTAGATCATCTTGACATACTAACGTTTTGAACTTATATGAAAATGCGTTTGTTATGTAATTTATCCAGCTTCCTCTCCCCTCTTCCTCCATTTATTTGAAAAGATTTTTGAACAAAATCCACCTAAAAATGTACAAGATCAGCTGACAAACGGGACCTGCTAGTAATGAAATATAAAAGACGAGCCGACCCGCGGCGCTATTTAGTTGTTTTATTTTCTACTTTTCAGTAATTCATATTTTGTGAATCCGACAGTTCCAATGCTGCTACTGAAAATATTTGCTCTAAAAAACTCTCCTTCCCCCAATCCCTACCCCCCCCCCCCTTCCCTGAAAGCAGCCTCCTCTTAGTTACCTCCCCTAAGTTTAAAATTGTTGCAAATTAAATTATCTGCCCCTAATAGCCGTCACTAAACCCGGCTTTACGATTGTAAAAATTTAGCGTGAACCACAGCTCACCAGACCATGTGGGGGAGTGGGGGGGGGGGGGTAGCGATAGAGAGGAAGAGGGGGAACTGCAAGGCGCGCTTACAGCTAGTTTTCTAACGTCTCCAAGAATAGAATTATATATATAGATATGCAAAATTGTATTCTGCGGGGCACACTTTAAACAGTTGCCCTTCGTCTCTAGGCTGATCTTAAAACCAGAAAATAATAGACCTCCCATATAAAAGATGGATGGCTGAATTGAGCCTGACCACTCAAGCAAAGGCTACACTTGTGAATTAGATCGATGTGTGAGTGGTTGAATGTACATACCCAGCTAGAACAACACAAACGGCTGATCTACAGGCGCTATCGTGGGTTGTCATGGTGACAAAAAGCTGATGTGCAGGCGCTAGCGTGGGTTGTCATGGAGACAAGCCAAGAAATAAGCCAAGAAGTATACACATTCAAAATGTGATATTTAGGCTACGTAAAAAAAAACTGTTCAAAATTTGAATCTCCAGTAATGAGTATGCTGTAATTTTTTTTAAATTTTTTTTTTGTCAAAATTGTTTTAATTTTTTTTTTAAATATTCTCCGAAAAATGCGCGACTAATGCCACTATCCCTAAAATGGTCGTACGATATTGGTTAGGTTTAATGTTAATATCAGGTTCCGCCTGTTTTTTGATACGAGAGAATGTCGTAATTCAATACGAGAGAATGTAGTACTTCCATACGAGAGAAGGTCGTAATGGGCCGTATTTCTAAGAAAGCGCCGGTAGGTGGCGCCACAGGGAATTAGGTAACATTTTCTTATAGGCAGGGGTGGCCACTCTGCGTAGCAATATCGCCCATTCAATACGAGAGAATGTCGTAATTCAATACGAGAGAATGTCGTACTTCCATACGAGAGAATGTCGTAATTCAATACGAGAGAATGTCGTAATTCAATACGAGAGAATGTCGTAATTCAATACGAGAGAATGTCGTAATTCAATACGAGAGAATGTCGTACTTCCATACGAGAGAATGTCGTAATTCAATACGAGATAATGTCGTACTTCCATACGAGAGAATGTCGTAATTCAATACGAGAGAATGTCGTAATTCAATACGAGAGAATGTCGTACTTCCATACGAGAGAATGTCGTAATTCAATACGAGAGAATGTCGTAATTCAATACGAGAGAATGTCGTACTTCCATACGAGAGAATGTCGTAATTCAATACGAGAGAATGTCGTAATTCAATACGAGAGAATGTCGTAATTCAATACGAGAGAATGTCGTAATTCAATACGAGAGAATGTCGTACTTCCATACGAGAGAATGTCGTAATTCAATACGAGATAATGTCGTACTTCCATACGAGAGAATGTCGTAATTCAATACGAGAGAATGTCGTAATTCAATACGAGAGAATGTCGTACTTCCATACGAGAGAATGTCGTAATTCAATACGAGAGAATGTCGTAATTCAATACGAGAGAATGTCGTACTTCCATACGAGAGAATGTCGTAATTCAATACGAGATAATGTCGTACTTCCATACGAGAGAAGGTCGTTCTTCAATTTTCTGGCACTTGTTTTTTGATAAAGGAGGTTTGGAATGTCGGGAGAAAGAAGCAAAAGTTTAGGTCGGGTTTCCTTGGCGTTGCATATCATTTGTGTTATATGTCATGTGTATTACATATGCATTAGTCGTTCTGTTTATGGCTTTAGTCACTGATCGTAATGTTCTGTTTATGGTTTTAGTCACTGGTGTTGTTAGCAAGACATGTTATGTCAGAAACACTGGTGTGGAATGGTGTGGATTGGTGTGGATTGGTGTGGATTGGTGTGGATTGGTGTGGATTGGTGTGGAATGGTGTGGATTGGTGTGGCATGGTGTGGATTGATGTGGATTGATGTGGATTGGTGTGGAATGGTGTGGATTGGTGTGGATTGGTGTGGATTGGTGTGGATTGGTGTGGATTGGTGTGGATTGGTGTGGATTGGTGTGGATTGGTGTGGATTGGTGTGGATTGGTGTGGATTGGTGTGGATTGGTGTGGATTGGTGTGGATTGGTGTGGATTGGTGTGGATTGGTGTTGGGTCGTGTTGTGTGGATGGGTATGTTGAGTGGGGTGGGGTGGTGGGATGTAGCTTTACCTGGACACTGCCCAAACACACTGACAGCGGCATCGAGCATGGGAAAACGTTCGGGACCGTCAACACAGAAGATGCCACTAAAGTAGGGCGTCAGGTCGGTGCTGAATGCAAGAAAAGTTTCCCTCATCTCCCGCAGGTAACAGTCACAGGGAATCATTGAGTTGTCCATCTCACTGGGGAGGAGGGGGGGGAGACATCAATACCAACAGACACAAACACATACACACTTCAACACACATTCAACCGTTCTTGTTATATCTACATTAAAGTATACGTTTTAAAACACTTTATAATGTGTGTTACATATTCTTTTCAAATGCTTCAGAAAGCAATTTAATAATGCATATTTTTAAAACTGTAAAATGTTAAACTGACATACTTTTTGCAGATCTAAAAGAGTACGGTGTTTGTGGGTGTGTGTTTGGGTGTGGAGGGGGTAGAGTGGGGTGGAGGGGGTAGAGTGGGGTGGAGGGGGTAGAGTGGGTGGAGGGGGTAGAGTGGGGTGGAGGGGGTAGAGTGGGTGGAGGGGGTAGAGTGGGGTGGAGGGGGTAGAGTGGGGTGGAGGGGGGTAGAGTGGGGTGGATGGGGTAGAGTGGGGTGGAGGGGGTGTATTGATGGGAACTGAGAGGAGCTGGTTGAGAATATTTGGATAAATGTTTGGTTAGACGTATAGACTGATGTATGTATGGTTAGACGTATAGACTGATGTATGTTTGGTTAGACGTATAGACTGATGTATGTATGGTTAGACGTATAGACTGATGTATGTATGGTTAGACGTATAGACTGATGTATGTATGGTTAGACGTATAGACTGATGTATGTATGGTTAGACGTATAGACTGATGTATGTATGGTTAGACGTATAGACTGATGTATGTATGGTTAGACGTATAGACTGATGTATGGTTAGACGTATAGACTGATGTATGTATGGTTAGACGTATAGACTGATGTATGTATGGTTAGACGTATAGACTGGTGTATGTATGGTTAGACGTATAGACTGATGTATGTTTGGTTAGACGTATAGACTGATGTATGTATGGTTAGACGTATAGACTGATGTATGTATGGTTAGACGTATAGACTGATGTATGTATGGTTAGACGTATAGACTGATGTATGGTTAGACGTATAGACTGATGTATGTATGGTTAGACGTATAGACTGATGTATGTATGGTTAGACGTATAGACTGTTGTATGGTTAGACGTATAGACTGATGTATGTATGGTTAGACGTATAGACTGATGTATGTATGGTTAGACGTATAGACTGATGTATGGTTAGACGTATAGACTGATGTATGTATTGTTAGACCAGGGGTTCCCAATTTTTTTTACTCTAGAGCACATTCTAAAATATCGGTAGGGTGGCGGGCACCACCTATTTTAAATCAACAAACTCCTTCCAGAGGCGTAGCGACCCTTCCCGTCACCCGGGGACGAAACTTTCGATTTGCACCCCCCAACCCCACCCCCTTAAACTTTCGATTTGCATCCCCTTCAACCTTTCAATAATGTTTATGAAAAAAATTCTGTCTCTGTCGGATAGTGAGAGGCGGGCACATACGAATCGTTCGGCGGGCGCCATGGCGCCCGCGGGCACGGGGTTGGGAACCCCTGGGTTAGACGTATAGACTGATGTATGTATGGTTAGACGTATAGACTGTTTAATGTATGGATAAGGGTCGTCCATAAATGACGTCACACTCGTAGGGGGGAGGGGGGTCCGTAATTTTGTGAGGGCGTGTGATGAGGGGGAGGGGAGGGTTTAGAGGGTGTGACGTCACATTTTTGCATTTTAAAAAAGCAATGTTAGAAAAAGAGTTTTAGTCGTTATTTCGCGTTTTAGAAAACGGTTTTACTAAATTGTAATAGGAGATGATCAAAATACTCTATGTTGACAGAGTTCTGACAAGATTTTGGAAAAATATCAATGTTTTAAGAAAATTTCAACAGCAATTTTGAGGGGGGGAGGGAGGTTGTGGGCTGAGGTGTGACGTCATTTAAGGGGGGTCTGGCTTTTTGTGACGGAGGGGAAGGGGGAGGTAAAAATCGTCCAAAAAAGCGTGACGTCATTTATGGATGACAGCCCCCCCCCCCCCTTAGATGTATAAACTGTTTGATGTATGGTTAGATGTTTAGACTGTTTGATGTATGGTTAGACGGATAGACTGTTTGACGTTTAGACGGTTGTATTGATGAATGGTTGTGTTATGAAATAAATGTACTCACATATTAAATTTAAACATAACTGCAGACAACAGTGTGTACTTGTCGATCATGACAATTTGGTTTCCTCGAAGGTAACTGGGTTAGAGAAAATAGACGACTAACTACTAGACGACTAACTACTAGACGACTAACTACTAGACGACTAACTACTAGACGACTAACTACTAGACGACTAACTACTAGACGACTAACTACTAGACGACTAACTACTAGACGACTAACTACAAGACGACTAACTACTAGACGACTAACTACTAGACGACTAACTACTAGACGACTAACTACTAGACGACTAACTACTAGACGACTAACTACTAGACGACTAACTACTAGACGACTAACTACTAGACGACTAACTACTAGACGACTAACTACTAGACGACTAACTACTAGACGACTAACTACTAGACGACTAACTACTAGACGACTAACTACTAGACGACTAACTACTAGACGACTAACTACTAGACGACTAACTACTAGACGACTAACTACTAGACGACTAACTACTAGACGACTAACTACTAGACGACTAACTACTAGACGACTAACTACTAGACGACTAACTACTAGACGACTAACTACTAGACGACTAACTACTAGACGACTAACTACTAGACGACTAACTACTAGACGACTAACTACTAGACGACTAACTACTAGACGACTAACTACTAGACGACTAACTACTAGACGACTAACTACTAGACGACTAACTACTAGACGACTAACTACTAGACGACTAACTACTAGACGACTAACTACTAGACGACTAACTACTAGACGACTAACTACTAGACGACTAACTACTAGACGACTAACTACTAGACGACTAACTACTAGACGACTAACTACTAGACGACTAACTACTAGACGACTAACTACTAGACGACTAACTACTAGACGACTAACTACTAGACGACTAACTACTAGACGACTAACTACTAGACGACTAACTACTAGACGACTAACTACTAGACGACTAACTACTAGACGACTAACTACTAGACGACTAACTACTAGACGACTAACTACTAGACGACTAACTACTAGACGACTAACTACTAGACGACTAACTACTAGACGACTAACTACTAGACGACTAACTACTAGACGACTAACTACTAGACGACTAACTACTAGACGACTAACTACTAGACGACTAACTACTAGACGACTAACTACTAGACGACTAACTACTAAACAACTGACTACTAGAATCTAGAATTAGATGTAGGACATTATGTCAAACAGAACAGGAATGTGGGATATAGTATAGGATTGCGTGCAGTGTTTCTTTCAGACTTTTTACTCCGGTGGGGGGGGATTTGAAAATTTCGGGGAGCGGACTAAATTTTTTCAGGGAGAGTGGAGGACAGTATGTGCTGCACCCCCACCCCCAACCGGAAGAGAAGCCTGAAAGAAACTCAGTGTGTAAGACATTGCAGGACATTAGTACAGCGTAGAACAGTAGGATATTACAGGACATTAGTACAGCGTAAAACAGTAGGACATTACAGGACAAGAGTACAGCGTAGAACAGTAGGATATTACAGGACATTAGTACAGCGTAAAACAGTAGGACATTACAGGACAAGAGTACAGCGTAGAACAGTAGGATATTACAGGACATTAGTACAGCGTAAAACAGTAGGACATTACAGGACAAGAGTACAGCGTAGAACAGTAGGATATTACAGGACATTAGTACAGCGTAAAACAGTAGGATATTACAGGACACTAGTACAGCGTAGGACAGTAGGATATTACAGGACAAGAGTACAGCGTAGAACAGTAGGACATTACAGGACACTAGTACAGCGTAGGACATTACAGGACACTAGTACAGCGTAGAACAGTAGGACATTACAGGACATTAGTACAGCGTAGGACAGTAGGATATTACAGGACATTAGTACAGCGTAAAACAGTAGGACATTACAGGACACTAGTACAGCGTAGAACAGTAGGACATTACAGGACATTAGTACAGCGTAGGACAGTAGGATATTACAGGACATTAGTACAGCGTAAAACAGTAGGACATTACAGGACACTAGTACAGCGTAGGACAGTAGGATATTACAGGACATTAGTACAGCGTAGAACAGTAGGATATTACAGGACACTAGTACAGCGTAGGACAGTAGGATATTACAGGACATTAGTACAGCGTAGAACAGTAGGATATTACAGGACAAGAGTACAGCGTAGAACAGTAGGACATTACAGGACACTAGTACAGCGTAGGACATTACAGGACACTAGTACAGCGTAGAACAGTAGGACATTACAGGACACTAGTACAGCGTAGGACAGTAGGATATTACAGGACATTAGTACAGCGTAGAACAGTAGGACATTACAGGACACTAGTACAGCGTAGGACAGTAGGATATTACAGGACATTAGTACAGCGTAGAACAGTAGGACATTACAGGACAAGAGTACAGCGTAGAACAGTAGGATATTACAGGACAAGAGTACAGCGTAGAACAGTAGGACATTACAGGACAAGAGTACAGCGTAGAACAGTAGGACATTACAGGACACTAGTACAGCGTAGGACAGTAGGAAGGAAAAGGACAGACTGGGTGTAGGGCAAATTTTGTCTTATATGTAAATAGTAGTAGACTAAAATCACGTTGATGTCACTAACTGTCAGACGTCACTAACTGCCAGACGTCACTAACTGTCAGACGTCACTAACTGTCAGACGTCACTACCTGTCTGATGAACCTCTACTTACAGTGTGTCTAAGGACGATAAGTGATGGACGTTCAAATTATTGACGTCTAAAATTGTAAGACTGTTCTTTCTTAAATTGCTGAAATTACAAAAAAGTAAAGCCTTACAATAGACGTCAGCTCCAAATGTGTGGTGTCATTGATGTATGGTGTGGTGTTATGGACGTATGGTGTGGTGTCATGGACGTATGGTGTGGTGTCATTGATGTATGGTGTGGTGTCATTGATGTATGGTGTGGTGTCATGGACGTATGGTGTGGTGTCATGGACGTATGGTGTGGTGTCATGGACGTATGGTGTGGTGTCATTGATGTATGGTGTGGTGTCATGGACGTATGGTGTGGTGTCATGGACGTATGGTGTGGTGTCATGGACGTATGGTGTGGTGTCATGGACGTATGGTGTGGTGTCATGGACGTATGGTGTGGTGTCATGGACGTATCGTGTGGTGTCATGGACGTATGGTGTGGTGTCATGGACGTATGGTGTGGTGTCATGGACGTATGGTGTGGTGTCATGGACGTATGGTGTGGTGTCATGGACGTATGGTGTGGTGTCATGGACGTATGGTGTGGTGTCATGGACGTATGGTGTGGTGTCATTGATGTATCGTGTGGTGTCATGGACGTATGGTGTGGTGTCATGGACGTATGGTGTGGTGTCATTGATGTATCGTGTGGTGTCATTGATGTATCGTGTGGTGTCATGGACGTATGGTGTGGTGTCATGGACGTATGGTGTGGTGTCATGGACGTATGGTGTGGTGTCATGGACGTATGGTGTGGTGTCATGGACGTATGGTGTGGTGTCATTAACGTATGGTGTGGTGTCATGGACGTATAGTGTGGTGTCATTGACGTATGGAGTGCAGATCTTACTTACAGAACTCTCAATCGGTAGAGATGCTCAAAAGCCTTGATGTGGATCGAGTGGATTTGGTTTTTGTACAGGGACCTGTCAATAAACGATACATCAATACTCAAGAATCTTTTCAGAACTAAACAGCCGTATACACTCCACTCTATACTCTATACTCCACTCTATACTCCACTCTATACTCCACTCTATACTCCACTCTATACTCCACTCTATACTCCACTCTATACTCCACTCTATACTCCACTCTATACTCCACTCTATACTCCACTCTATACTCCACTCTATACTCTACTCTATACTCCACTCTACACTCTATACTCCACTCTATACTCCACTTTATACTCCACTTTATACTCCACTCTATACTCCACTCTATACTCCACTCTATAATCCATCCACTCTATACTCCACTCTACACTCTATACTCCACTCTATACTCCACTCTACACTCTATACTCCACTCTATACTCCACTCTATACTCCACTCTATACTCCACTCTATACTCCACTCTATACTCCACTCTATACTCCACTCTACACTCCACTCTACACTCCACTCTATACTCCACTCTATACTCCACTCTATACTCCACTCTATACTCCACTCTATACTCCACTCTATACTCCACTCTACACTCCACTCTATACTCCACTCTCCACTCCAATCTATACTCCACTCTATACTCCACTCTATACTCTATACTCCACTCTCCACTCCACTCTATACTCCACTCTACACTCCACTCTACACTCCACTCTATACTCCACTCTATACTCCACTCTATACTCCACTCTATACTCCACTCTATACTCCACTCTACACTCCACTCTACATTCCACTCTATACTCCACTCTATACTCCACTCTATACTCCACTCTATACTCCACTCTACACTCCACTCTATACTCCACTCTCCACTCCACTCTATACTCCACTCTATACTCCACTCTATACTCTATACTCCACTCTCCACTCCACTCTATACTCCACTCTACACTCCACTCTACACTCCACTCTATACTCCACTCTATACTCCACTCTATACTCCACTCTATACTCCACTCTCCACTCCACTCAATACTCCACTCTACACTCCACTCTACATTCCACTCTATACTCCACTCTATACTCCACTCTATACTCCACTCTATACTCCACTCTATACTCCACTCTACACTCCACTCTACACTCCACTCTCCACTCCACTCTATACTCCACTCTATACTCCACTCTACACTCTATACTCCACTCTATACTCCACTCTATACTCCACTCTCCACTCCACTCTATACTCTATACTCCACTCTACACTCTATACTCCACTCTCCACTCCACTCTATATTCCACTCTATACTCCACTCTATACTCCACTCTATACTCCACTCTGTACTCCACTCTATACTCCACTCTACACTCCACTCTATACTCCACTCTCCACTCCACGCTATACTCCACTCTATACTCCACTCTATACTCTATACTCCACTCTCCACTCCACTCTATACTCCACTCTACACTCCACTCTACACTCCACTCTATACTCCACTCTATACTCCACTCTATACTCCACTCTATACTCCACTCTCCACTCCACTCTATACTCCACGCTACACTCCACTCTACATTCCACTCTATACTCCACTCTATACTCCACTCTATACTCCACTCTATACTCCACTCTATACTCCACTCTACACTCCACTCTACACTCCACTCTCCACTCCACTCTATACTCCACTCTATACTCCACTCTACACTCTATACTCCACTCTATACTCCACTCTATACTCCACTCTCCACTCCACTCTATACTCTATACTCCACTCTACACTCTATACTCCACTCTCCACTCTCCACTCCACTCTATACTCCACTCTATATTCCACTCTATACTCCACTCTATACTCCACTCTATACTCCACACTCCACTCCACTCTATACTCTATACTCTATACTCCACTCTACACTCTATACTCCACTCTACACTCCACTCTCCACTCCACTCTATACTCCACTCTATACTCCACTCTATACTCCACTCTATGCTCCACTCTATACTCCACTCTACACTCTATACTCCACTCTATACTCCACTCTATACTCCACTCTCCACTCCACTCTATACTCTATACTCCACTCTACACTCTATACTCCACTCTATACTCAACTCTATACTCTACTCTATACTCCACTCTATACTCCACTCTATACTCAACTCTATACTCCACTCTATACTCCACTCTATACTCCACTCTATACTCCACTCTTTTAGATATTCTTTTAAAATGAAGTTGACACTACGTAACCTACGACTAAAATTTTGCTTTAAAACCCGAACAGTAGCCGCTGCTGTACCGTAGTTCGTGGTTGATGCTCAGAGAAGCTCACCCTAGCCGTCTATCTGATCTAGCGATCGCTTGTATTTAATCGTCTTATCTTCCCTATTATTATTAACTATAGCGATGTTTAAATCAATTTTTAATGACTAATTAAACGTCTAATTAAATTGAAAATTAAATATTCATGCATTTTCCTCGTAGACAAACTTATCTGGAAAGTTTGAACAAAATCGCTGCATTAGAAATGGGTCAAAATTGATTTACAAACCCATAAACCAACAGACATTATGAACAACGTTAAAGCTTGTAAAACGTGGGACGTGAACGATGATAAGGATAAATATTTGTCGACTTACAGTTCAACCAGCAGGTCTAAGCCTCGAAAATCACATTCACCGATGACTTGAATTTGGTTTAAGTCAAGATCTCTGTTCAATAGAATTCATTTAAAGTGATGACAACTTGTCTTGGTCAACTAAAACTTCAATTTAGGAATCTCCGTTAACCTTAAAACTTATCCACCAGAACACTACTATAGAAAGGGATAGCACTTGTAGATAAGGGGATAGCACTTGTAGATAAGGGGATAGCACTTGTAGATAAGGGGATAGCACTTGTAGATAAGGGGATAGCACTTGTAGATAAGGGGATAGCACTTGTAGATAAGGGGATAGCACTTGTAGATAAGGGGATAGCACTTGTAGATAAGGGGATAGCACTTGTAGATAAGGGGATAGCACTTGTAGATAAGGGGATAGCACTTGTAGATAAGGGGATAGCACTTGTAGATAAGGGGATAGCACTTGTAGATAAGGGGATAGCATTAATAGAAAATGAGCTGACTGACAACGCTTCAATAGACGACTTACACAACTTCGGCATTCGGTGTCATGCTGACAGGCACCTCTTTTAACATCCGCGCCCTGCAGTCAATAAAATTACTCTTACATTCGCAGCGGCCGAAGGCGGATTGGCCGCAGGCCAATTGCTTTGCTTGCACACCCAAAGGGCCATGTGCCAGGATAATCACAGCTAGTCTCAGCAGATGCATGTGGCAGCAGGGTCAGATCTGAGGGTGACAGGTGTTAAGTAGTGGATAATCCAGATAATCCAGATAATCCAGAAACACTTAAGCTACCAAAATAAAATAGCTAGCAGTAGTTTTAAGGCTACCAAAATAAAATCGCTAGCAGTAGTTTTAAGGCTACCAAAATAAAATAGCTAGCAGTAGTTTTAATACTACCAAAATAAAATAGCTAGCAGTAGTTTTAAGGCTACCAAAATAAAATAGCTAGCAGTAGTTTTAAGACTACCAAAATAAAATAGCTAGCAGTAGTTTTAAGGCTACCAAAATAAAATAGCTAACAGTAGTTTTAAGACTACCAAAATAAAATAGCTAGTAGTAGTTTTAAGGCTACCAAATAAAATAGCTAGCATTAGTTTTAAGGCTACCAAAATAAAATCGCTAGCAGTAGTTTTAAGGCTACCGAAATAAAATAGCTAGCAGTAATTTTAAGGCTACCAAAATAAAATAGCTAGCAGTGTGTTCTAAGGCTACCAAAATAAAATAGCTAGCAGTAGTTCAAAGGCTACCAAAATAAAATAGCTAGCAGTAGTTCAAAGGCTACCTAAAATAAAATAGCTAGCTAGCAGTGTGTTCTAAGGAAAGCTAAAAACTAGAAGCCAGATCTAGATCTAGCTAGATCTAAGGCCTAAGGCCGGGTAACAAAATAGTACAGCTAGATCTAGGACTATTTATTCTACATCAAAAGACTCAAAAGACTTTTAAGTTAACCCACACAAAAGTCTTGCAATAACGAAATAAGATGGATTTAAAACCAGCTATTTGCTAACGAAATAAAATATCTACCACTAGAGCTAGCACAGTGAATACTCTAATAAAGTTAAAATAAGTGTAATAGCTTTTAAAATAAATATTGTGTCAACACGACATAAACATCGTATTTTTTAGATGTGACAACTTCCTTCTACTGCTCACTTGAAAAACCATTTCTATTTTTGGAACTTGGTGGGAATACCTGGTGCGCTTTCTTTTTACTTTCTCGTATATACGAAGTATAGAGAAATCTTGTAATCGTGCAAAAAAAAAAAAACGAGATTTGTGATCTCCCCTAAACTTTCTCGAATATTCTAATATAACACTACGGGGGATGGCAACTCGGGATATAGACTTCTAGACATGATTTTTAATCCATTTTAATTACTCAATTTTTTTAAAATAGAATATAATCTCGTAGAAAAAAGAAATGCACACCAAGTGAACGCTAAATAAAGATGTGCATAATAGTGCGCAATATTATTAGTACTTTATAAACTTACATGCGTTTTTTGAGCAGGGGTCTCCAAACTACGGCCCGCATGCGGCCCGCAAGGTCTTCTCATCCGGCGGAGATCTTCTTGTCTACGGAAGAATTTCCTAATATTAATATTAAAACTTTTGTATCAAAGTACCTATCAAAATTTGAACAAAAAATTTCAAGAATGAAATTATTTGAGAACAAACTTGGACCTCGAGTGTATTGTCTGCCGCCGACAGTGTTTCTTTCAGACTTTTTTCTCCGGGGAGGGAGTGGGGGGCACTTGTATATATTTCAATATAAATTATATTTCGTGTGGGGTGGGGGGGGGGAGGGGAGGGAGGTAGACATTCTTCGGGGTGGGGGGCACCGCCAACCCGAAGAGATGCCTGGAAGAAACTCTGGCCCCCGAACTGATATTTGATAGTTAATGCGGCCCTCGGGCTGAAAAGTTTGGAGACCCCTGCTTTAGAGTGTAGAAAGTGCAAGTTTATTTGGTCTACTTTTAGCTGTGTCTTTAGAACAAATAGTATCTTTTACTTTTAAATTGTCAACTTGAACAAAGCAGTAGCAGTCGTCATGTTGTACCAAGTTTACAAGTAATCAAAATGATCTATTCGGTACAATTTACTAGTTTTCTAAACTCTTAAAATTTCGGCACAGAGTATCAGCTTTCACCAACCCGCTCTCCGACCGTATGCTATTTTACTGATCGTTTCGGGATGACATTTATTTCTCTTTAATGAATAATCCAGGCAAGATGTAATGCAGTTAAGTAAAAAAAGTATCTGATCTCTCACGGTGAGGTTGAGAGAAATCGTAAGAATCGTACAAAGAACTAGTCGCGTCGGTTCTTAACAAAATTGGCTACTGAAATTGTACATTACGCGTTAATACAATTTGTTTATACTCAGAGTGTTAAACGATATTTCTACTCACCGTTCATGTGAAAATCCTTCCCATTCACCTTTGCGAATAAGCACCACTACCCAGAGGCGTAGCGGGGGCGGGGGGGGGGGGGGGGGGTGGGCGGGGCGGATCGCACCGGGTGACACCATTTAGGGGGGTGACACCATGGCGAAAAATAGCAAAATATATAGAGGAAAATTTTAGGGGCGGGGGGGGGGGGGGGGCAAATCGAAAGTTTGAGGGGCTGGGTGGAAATCGAAAAATTTGTCCCCGGGAAGGGTCGCTACGCCTCTGGGGGGTGATACCATTGGGTGCCGCACCGGGTGATACCCGACCTCGCTACGCCACCACCCACCACCTTATTCTTATTTTACACAATCTAATATATAAAGCTCAGTTCTGTATGTAACGCATGTTTGTCGTTGGTCTTGGATGGATTTAAGTGTTAGACAATTATCGTGCGCATTTGTCTAAATCAGGGGTCGGCAACCTTTTGGGACGGAAGAGCCAAAAGTTACAATTTACCACATTTCACAGTTTTTAAAGAGCCACAATCATTTTTATTTCAATATTATGATATCTGATTAGGTATATATATATATATATATATATATATATATATATATATATATATATATATATATATATATATATATATATATATATACACATTTATATATTTATATATACATTACATTTAAAATAAATAGCTTAAAATATGAAATAATATTTATTCATATAAAAACATACACATGTTTCGCACAAAACATATTAAAGTAGTTTAGCAAGCTCTGCTCGAAATTAGAAACTTTACATGGTTATTAGATCTAGGGCCTATATCTTTAATTACTGAGTATTGCAGACTAATATTTTATGAGTTTTAAAAATAAATTAAAATAATTATTAATATTTGTGCATGGAGCTGAAGAGCCGCATCTTGACATCAAAAGAGCCGCATGCGGCTCGCGAGCCGCAGGTTGCCGACCCCTGGTCTAAATTTATGAGTTAAAAAAATTACTATTGAAAGTGTTGGGAAATAATTTTCATTTTTCAAATTATAGTAATAATTGTCGGCATGTTCATTGAACACAATTTTTTAAAAATGAACAAAAATTCTAATTATGTCTGAAAATTATTTATGTTTAGTCCTTTAGCACTTACTTCCCTTTGATAAATTAGGAAAACACAATTACTTCCCTTTATAAAACATTGCATTGGTGGAAAAGAATTTACTTTTTATTACTTTGTTTTGGTGTTGGGAAAAAAAAATAATTACATAATTAGCGGGGATTGATCAAGTGCAAATGTTGTAGGTATTTTACGGTTAAGCTTGGAGTATTATAATTGTTCATTAAATTGAAACAGGCGCGTCCGCCGGCGCCCCAACAGGTATCAATTTGGCGCTCTGGGCTATCCTGAGAGCGCCATGGTGCATAATTTCGCTTTAAACAGCGCGATAGAGTATGGATAAGAAAGGTTACAATAGTCTTTAAGTGAATCGAATCCGGGCGTCCTCTGGTGCCCAGACAGGGTGCTATTTGGGGCCCCGGGCCTCCCGTGTTCGGTTTGGCACCTACGTTCGTTTAAGTGAGTGCAAAAGACTATGAATAAGTTGGGGTACTATAGTCGTTTATTAAGCTGAAACAGGCGATTCCGCCCCGGGCTAGACTGTGAGCACTTGCGTTTATGTACGCGTTAGTGTTTTCTTTGTGTTTAGGTTGCGTTTGCGTTAGTGGTTGCGTTTTGGTTCTTTCTTTTTTCGTTTGTGTTTTTTCTTTGAGTTTGTATTTGTGTTTGTGGTTGGTTTTGCGTTTGGATTTGGTTTGTTTTCGTTTGCTTTTTCGTTTGTGTTTTTTTCTTTGGGTTTTGTTTCTGGTTGGTTTTGCGTTTGGATTTGGTTTGTTTTCGTTTGTTTTTTTCTTTGTGTTCGTATTGGTGTTTGTGGTTGGGTTTGTTGTTAGGTTTTTGTTTTCGTTTGCTTTTTTGTTTTTTCTTTGTGTTTGTATTGGTGTTTGTGTTTGTTGTTAGGTTTTTGTTTTCGTTTGTATTTGTGTTAGCGTTATGTTTTTGGTTGGTTGTGGTTTGGGTGAGCAATGCCGGGTTTATGATGATTACTAAACACACAGGTAATGGTATTTAACAGAAAGGTTTTTCACAGAAGCCAGAGCAGGGCCTGACCGGCTAGTACTCTTATAATTACAATAAAATAAGTTTCTTTTCTAATTATAAGTGTTAAAAGATTTATCTACTCATCAATCGAGTACAATTTCCTGTGATTTTTTTAGCGAAAAAACGTTCCCCCCCCCCTGAAAAAGTTGGTAGAGCGGGTTTTTTTAAAGTCAATACCTTTTTTTTCGGTTACATAATTGAACAACACGCTTTAATATAATTGGTTTCTTTTTTTTTTTGTCATAAAGGTTATCTACTCACCAATCCTGTGTAAATACTCCCGATCCTGGCAGACAAGCAGTTTGTGTCGGTCAGGGTTTCTTAAGCTTATGAGTTATAGTTGTTTTACAGGTAGATGAGTTATAGTTGTTTTACAGGTAGAAAACTGTGAAATCAGTATGTAAACGCTTGCGGCTGTTTAATTTCTTAACGTCGTTTATAATTCAAAACTGCAGCTTAAAATGAGCTTTTATTTTCATAATTTTTTAAAACCCCTTTTGCGCCCCCCCCCCCTATATTTAATTTTTGTGTCTGCAAGAATTGATTTCAAGTGAATGTGGAATCTTCCAAACAATAGCACCAAGTTATTCAGTTGAAAACGTCAGTCTTTATTACACAATACATATTCAGCAGATATTTACAAAATTATCAAATAAATACTTTCATCATTTTAAAAATGTTATGACTTTAAATCATTCAGCCATCTGATTTTATGCAAAAATTGTACAATGGATGAATGGAAAAACTTTAGGGTGTAGGTCTCAAATTCAATGCATTAAATGTAGTAGTCAAGTTTAGTTTCTTTTCTCAAACTACTTTTGTCAAATGTGGTGGTCAAGTTAAGTTTTGTCTCAAACAATTTTTGTCAAATGTGGTGGTCAAGTTTAGCATGTCTCAAACTATTTTTGTCGAATGTTGAAATGAAGTTTGGCTTGTCATAGTTAGTGGTTAAGTTTCTCCAATGTTGAAAGACTGCAGCGCCTTATAAAACCCAGTCCTTAGATTTGGATCATTTCATCTTGTTATTTGTGTCAGCTGTCAATGGATCATTTGTCATCCACTCCAGTGGTGAGAAGCTTCAAGGCTTTTGTCAGGTTGGCTATGGCTGTGACAGCATCTTCATACTGCATAGCTGAGCTGGCAAACTTGCAGTACTTGATGCCTTTCTGGAACTGCTCAGCCGTTAGCTTCACGCCAGCTGAAAGAAACATTGTCAGGGCACGCTAATAGACACAGAGACAAATTGTAGACAGAGAGACAAATTGTAGACACAGAGACTAATTGTAGACACACAGACAAATTGTAGACAGGTGATGATAGTAAGGTGATAGTAAGGTGATGATGGTAAGTTGATGATGGTGAGGTGATGATGGTAAGGTGATAGTAAGGTGATGATGGTAAGGTGATAGTAAGGTGATGATGGTAAGGTGATGATGGTAAGGTGATAGTAAGGTGATGATAGTAAGGTGATGATGGTAAGGTGATGATGGTAAGGTGATGATGGTAAGGTGATGATAGTAAGGTGATGATAGTAAGGTGATGATGGTAAGGTGATGATAGTAAGGTGATGATAGTAAGGTGATGATGGTAAGGTGATGATAGTAAGGTGATGATAGTAAGGTGATGATAGTAAGGTGATGATGGTAAGGTGATGATGGTAAGGTGATGATGGTAAGGTGATGATAGTAAGGTGATGATGGTAAGGTGATGATAGTAAGGTGATGATGGTAAGGTGATAGTAAGGTGATGATAGTAAGGTGATGATGGTAAGGTGATGATGGTAAGGTGATGATAGTAAGGTGATGATGGTAAGGTGATGATAGTAAGGTGATGATGGTAAGGTGATAGTAAGGTGATGATAGTAAGGTGATGATAGTAAGGTGATGATGGTAAGGTGATAGTAAGGTGATGACAGTAAGGTGATGATGGTAAGGTGATGATGGTAAGGTGATGATGGTAAGGTGATGATGGTAAGGTAATGATAGTAAGGTGATGATGGTAAGGTGATGATAGTAAGGTGATGATGGTAAGGTGATGATGGTAAGGTAATGATAGTAAGGTGATGATGGTAAGGTGATGATAGTAAGGTGATGATGGTAAGGTGATAGTAAGGTGATGATGGTAAGGTGAGTATGGTAAGGTGATGATGGTAAGGTGATGATGGTAAGGTGATGATAGTAAGGTAATGATGGTAAGGTGAAGACAGTAAGGTGATGATAGTAAGGTGATGATAGTAAGGTGATGATAGTAAGGTGATGATGGTAAGGTGATAGTAAGGTGATGATGGTAAGGTGATAGTAAGGTGATGATGGTAAGGTGATAGTAAGGTGATGATGGTAAGGTGATAGTAAGGTGATGATGGTAAGGTGATGATAGTAAGGTGATGATGGTAAGGTGATAGTAAGGTGATGATGGTAAGGTGATGATGGTAAAGTGATGATAGTAAGGTGATGACAGTAAGGTGATAATAGTAAGGTGATGATGGTAAGGTGATGATAGTAAGGTGATGATGGTAAGGTGATGATGGTAAGGTGATGATGGTAAGGTGATAGTAAGGTGATGATGGTAAGGAGATGATGGTAAGGTGATGATGGTAAGGTGATAGTAAGGTGATGATGGTAAGTTGATGATGGTAAGGTGATGATAGTAAGGTGATGATGGTAAGGTGATGATGGTAAGTTGATGATGGTAAGGTGATGATGGTAAGGTGATGATAGTAAGGTGATGATGGTAAGGTGACGATGGTAAGGTGACGATGGTAAGGTGACGATGGTAAGGTGATGATGGTAAGGTGATGATGGTAAGGTGATGATGGTAAGGTGATGATGGTAAGGTGATGATGGTAAGGTGATGATGGTAAGGTGATGATGGTAAGGTGATGATGGTAAGGTGATTATGGATATGTTTCTATAGCTACCAGGATTGGGTGGTGGTGTCCAATCAGGCAATACATTAGAATATTGATTTGCCCCACTACGAGGGGCTGGCTGTGGGCTTGTGTGTAAGGTGGGGGCTTGGTAGTCAGTTCTGGGGGGATCTTGCGGAGTGCTGGGGGGTGCATGTGCTCCAGGGGCGGGGTCAAGGCCACTGTCTGTGCTGAAAGTCATCTGGTTAGCAGGGAAAGATAAACCTGTGCAACAAAAACAATTTATTGGCTCAATCAATTTCACCAACACTATGACAAATTTAACCAATATATTGACAGATTTAATCTACATATTTAAAGATTAAACTCACACTTTAACAAATTTAACCTGTATATTGACAGATTTAACTCACATAATGAGAAAATGAAACTCAACTAGACATATTTAACCCTCAACATACTGAGAAAATGAAACTCAACTAGACATATTTAACCCTCAACATACTGAGAAAATGAAACTCTCAACTAGACATATTTAACCCTCAACATACTGAGAAAATCAAACTGTCAACTAGACATATTTAACCCTCAACATACTGAGAAAATGAAACTCTCATCTAGACATATTTAACCCTCAACATACTGAGAAAATCAAACTCTCAACTAGACATATTTAACCCTCAACATACTGAGAAAATGAAACTCTCAACTAGACATATTTAACCCTCAACATACTCAGAAAATGAAACTCAACTAGACATTTAACCCTCAACATACTGAGAAAATGAAACTCAACTAGACATATTTAACCCTCAACATACTGAGAAAATGAAACTCTCAACTAGACATATTTAACCCTCAACATACTGAGAAAATCAAACTGTCAACTAGACATATTTAACCCTCAACATACTGAGAAAATCAAACTCTCAACTAGACATATTTAACCCTCAACATACTGAGAAAATCAAACTGTCAACTAGACATATTTAACCCTCAACATACTGAGAAAATGAAACTCTCAACTAGACATATTTAACCCTCAACATACTGAGAAAATGAAACTCTCATCTAGACATATTTAACCCTCAACATACTGAGAAAATGAAACTCTCATCTAGACATATTTAACCCTCAACGTACTGAGAAAATGAAACTCTCATCTAGACATATTTAACCCTCAACATACTGAGAAAATCAAACTGTCAACTAGACATATTTAACCCTCAACATACTGAGAAAATCAAACTCTCAACTAGACATATTTAACCCTCAACATACTGAGAAAATCAAACTGTCAACTAGACATATTTAACCCTCAACATACTGAGAAAATGAAACTCTCAACTAGACATATTTAACCCTCAACATACTGAGAAAATGAAACTCTCATCTAGACATATTTAACCCTCAACATACTGAGAAAATGAAACTCTCATCTAGACATATTTAACCCTCAACGTACTGAGAAAATGAAACTCTCATCTAGACATATTTAACATACCCTCCTCATTTTCCTCTGGCATGGGTCCTGCCATTGGGGTCTCACCATTCTGTAAACATTTATTGATGTACAAAGCCTTCCACTTGGCATATTTTCTGTTCTTCTCTATCTGAAACAACAGCCCTCAACTAGATAATGCAACAACCAAAGGCGAAGTGAGGGGGGGGGGGGGGGGGGGGAGACGACGACACATATGTCCCCGGGCGCAGACCTTAGGGGGCACCAAAATGGGTTGGAAAAACAAATTTAAAGTTTGAGGGGGGTGAGGGATGCAAATCTAAAGTTTGTCAAATACATTTTGAGCTGAACTGATATTACTGACTTAGTCAACTTACTTCTTCACTGAGTTCACCAAAGTTGGTGAGTACATCCATCAGTAGACTTGAAGTCAAGAAAGCCTTTATCACATTTCTGTAGATTACCAGGAAAACAAGTGGCTAGCTAGGCAAACTACCATCACATTTTGGAACACAATAGTCCTTATAAATAATATCATTGGTGAATGGCAGTCATGTCTAACAGTCATATCTGACAGTTGTGTCTAACAGTTTTATCTAACAGTTTTATCTAACAGTTTTATCTAACAGTTTTATCTAACAGTTTTATCAGACAGTTGTGTCTAACAGTCATATCAGACAGTCGTATCTGACAGTCATATCAGACAGTTGTGTCTGACAGTCATATCAGACAGTTGTGTCTGACAGTCATATCTAACAGTTTTATCTGAAAGTTGTGTCTAACAGTTTTATCTAACAGTTGTTTCTGACAGTCATGTCTGACAGTCATATCAGACAGTTGTGTCTGACAGTTTTATCTGACAGTTTTATCTGACAGTTTTGGCAGATGCCTAATATTTGTTAGGGAGGCAAATGAGTTAAATTAGCCTCAGATTTCTTGATTTGACAGATGAACAAAAGCAATTAGCCAGTTAAGTTATTATAAGCATTTGACAAGATGAACAAAAACAATTAGCCAGTCAAGTTATTATAAGCATTTGACAAGATGAACAAAAGCAATTAGCCAGTCAAGTTATTATAAGCATTTGACAAGATGAACAAAAGCAACTAGCCAGTCAAGTTATTATAAGCATTTGACAAGATGAACAAAAGCAATTAGCCAGTCAAGTTATTATAAGCATTTGACAAGATGAACAAAAGCAATTAGCCAGTCAAGTTATTATAAGCATTTGACAAGATGAACAAAAGCAATTAGCCAGTCAAGTTATTATAAGCATTTGACAAGATGAACAAAAGCAACTAGCCAGTCAAGTTATTATAAGCATTTGACAAGATGAACAAAAGCAATTAGCCAGTCAAGTTATTATAAGCATTTGACAAGATGAACAAAAGCAATTAGCCAGTCAAGTTATTATAAGCATTTGACAAGATGAACAAAAGCAATTAGCCAGTCAAGTTATTATAAGAACCCACTTGTTAAAATTGCCTGCTCTGTCCTCGTTATCTGCATAAAGAAATAACTTCAAAGCATAGTTCTCCACATGTGCTTGACCACACAGCTCGTTGTGCACAGCTTCTTCATCCTTCAGCTGGATCTTAGACTGATAAAAGAACATCAGACTGTTTCACTTTTAAAGCAGCAGATCTTAGACTGATAAAAGAACATACCATCAGACTGTTTCACTTTTAAAGCAGCAGATCTTAGACTGATAAAAGAACATACCATCAGACTGTTTCACTTTTAAAGCAGCAGATCTTAGACTGATAAAAGAACATCAGACTGTTTCACTTTTAAAGCAGCAGATCTTAGACTGATAAAAGAACATACCATCAGACTGTTTCACTTTTAAAGCAGCAGATCTTAGACTGATAAAAGAACATACCATCAGACTGTTTCACTTTTAAAGCAGCAGATCTTAGACTGATAAAAGTAAATACCATCAGACTGTTTCACTTTTAAAGCAGCAGATCTTAGACTGATAAAAGAACATACCATCAGACTGTTTCACTTTTAAAGCAGCAGATCTTAGACTGATAAAAGAACATACCATCAGACTGTTTCACTTTTAAAGCAGCAGATCTTAGACTGATAAAAGAACATCAGACTGTTTCACTTTTAAAGCAGCAGATCTTAGACTGATAAAAGAACATCAGACTGTTTCACTTTTAAAGCAGCAGATCTTAGACTGATAAAAGAACATCAGACTGTTTCACTTTTAAAGCAGCATTTGGCTCACTATTAAACCAACAGCTATCGTTTGCTTACCATATATATAACTTTAGTTTAGACAAGCAGATTTTCATCTAATTTAAATCAATTTAATTCTGACCTTTTCCAGGAAATCCATAAGAGAGACAAGAAACTGTCGCGCTTCAGGTGAGTTTTTGTCCACAATCATTCCCTGCTGCATGGCATAGAGGCGGCCTGCAATCATCAGCATAGATCTCTCTTCAATTATGAGTATCACAATGTGTATATATGTCTTTATTTTGTATGTGTATGTGTGTATACATAAATATTTCATTCTTATTTCTGTATATTTTAATTAAAAAAGAATGCCACCGCTCTTTCTAAAATGCACAGAAGCATAAAATGAAAAGATTTTCTGATCATCCATACACATAGATGCTGTTGACCGAAGGTGCTTCGACCATAGATGATTGGCCCACACATTGCTTGACAACAGTGAAGGGTTGTCCACAGGCAGTTTGTCAACTAGGGCTTTGTAATCCCAAATGTAATTGGGCTTCTAGACCTACTACAACTTTAAGCGTTAAGAAACCAGCGCGAGAGATGTTGCCTACATTTCTTTAATAGAATGGCAACATTTAACAATAGGCCTACTTTTCATCTGAATATATCTGTAAATATATAGACCTAAATGAAAACTATCAGGGAGATTTCAGGCTGATATAAATTTAATAGGCCCCTAAATTAAAGGAACAATAGAAGAAGAGAAAGATAGGCCTATCATAACAGAATTAATAAAACAAGAGGTAGGCTCTATTTCTGGCTGTTTTGAACAACATGTTATTCAAAGTTGTTACAAATCTAAGTTGTTCAATCAACATCAAATTTCGGGTTGGTAAAAATTGAAATTTGATTAATTTGACTTTAAATACATTTGTACATTATAAAAATACAAACTAAAATAAATTGTTGAAATGTCTGCATCAAATTTTGTTCATCTAAATCATCAGCACGTTGGAATTTGGACACGCGTAACATTTTTGCAGAAATGGGCGCTATTTACCCACACCAAGCCTACTTATTGGATAAAGATAAAATTTGAGGTAAAACCTTAGTTTAGAGTCATAAATTTACTTTAAACTACTATGTTCGAGAAAAAAATGAGTAAATACAAACAGCGTCACTCTTTCAAAAACAATATTATGAGTAGTTTCCATTGAAAAAATGTCTGTTGTGTTGATTTTGTGGTTAAAAAAATTTGATGAATCTAGTAATTTTTCTTTTTTTTTACTTTCTCGTATACAGAGTATAGAGAAAGTATTGTAATCGTGCATAAACATCACATGAAGTTTTGACAGTTTTCACCATTTTACACCTCAGTACTTCATCACAGACAGAGTATAGGGAACTTATTTTAATCGGCAAAAATTATAAATCCAGATTTACCCATGTTTCGACATTTTATGCGTATTCGAGTCGGAAAAACTGGGTTTTGCAATTTTGTATGTATTTCTGTGTGTGTATGTGTATCTGTGAACACGATAACTTGAGTACCCTTACAGCTAGGTTGATGAAATTTCATAAATAAGTATTATATCTATTTTGTAGTTCTGCTTCAACTTTTCATGTTCATCAGATTTAGATTAAACTCATGCCTAGAGCACTGGCATTAAATCAGTTCATGTTCATCAGATTTAGATTAAACTCATGCCTAGAGCACTGGCATCAGTTCATGTTCATCAGATTTAGATTAAACTCTTGCCTAGAGCACTGGCATTAGCTCATGTTCATCAGATTTAGATTAAACTCATGCCTAGAGCACTGGCATTAAATCAGCTCATGTTCATCAGATTTAGATTAAACTCTTGCCTAGAGCACTGGCATCAGCTCATGTTCATCAGATTTAGATTAAACTCTTGCCTAGAGCACTGGCATTAGCTCATGTTCATCAGATTTAGATTAAACTCATGCCTAGAGCACTGGCATTAGCTCATGTTGTACACATAAGTACTGTAAACCATATTTTTTTGGCACCATATTATTTTTAATACCTATTGTTTACAAATGTGCATAGATTGATTTTAGTTGCATTTTAAATACTGTTTTGCTAATTATTTTCATATTTTGTATTACTAATTATTTTATTTTAAGTGTAGAAGCTTAATATTGCTGCTACAAAAATTGCTCTAGTTCTTTTTACGACTGTAACTTTAGACTTTAGTAGATCTAATCGTTTTATATTACAAATTTGAATCTTGTTGTTGCAAATCTTCTGCAAGTTTTTTTTTCTCTGTATTTCTTAGAAACCATTAATTACTACACTCGGCTTTATCGTAGGGATTTTGGTAAAAAAACACAAACGATCATATAAAAATAAAAATTATATATTCTTCTAGAACTCAACCATATGAAACAAAACAAAAAAGATTTTGTAACTAGCTCAAATAGTTTTTTGTTAGTTAAAATTTTTTATGAGGAGTGGAATCCTCTTGTTTTTGCATTGGCCATGGTATACCTGAATAAATGAGCACAGTCATTGTACTTGCAATTGTATGTTGTTCATATTTGCAGAGTTTTTAGCTAGAATGATATATAGAACTTGTATATTTGTTGAACTAAATAAAAATAGTACAGAAAGTAGAATTCTTGTGTTGACTTCCTCCCTCAATCCCAATAAATTGTGTGCTACGCATATATGAAAATGTTTCTAAAGCAATGTTTTTATAAATACACTGAATGAAAGAACTACATTGTCAGAAATCTAAGCTACTTGAGCACTGTAATGTGCATATAACTGCCTGATTATTTTGGGCAGGTGAAGTCCATCGTTAAACCATTTTGTTATAAGTGAACTAAAGTTTTAGATTCTAATTCAAGTAAATAGTAATAAATGAAGACTAGCGATGTTTCCAATAGATGCAACCATGCTCATTTACTATAGCAGCCATTTTGGTAAAAAAAAATTTTAAACTTATAGCGTGAGATTCAGGGGGAAGCCACTCTATTTTACATATGGCTGATACAGCAAATCTTGCTCGCAAACACTGCTGTTTAAAGTTAATTTCTGGCCTATATTGATATATTATTATTTAGCCATTGATTTAGGTTTATTATTCATTTATCTATAATATTTGAGACAAACATATGACAATATACTTCTATTAAAGCCTTGACAATGAGGTAACGTTTTCGTACATTAATAGCCGCGGGCGATTTTACGTACCCAAAACGATAGATTACCCCTAATTTAAATTTTACTGAGAGATCTAGATCTAGAATCTAGATCTAGTATTGTATAGGCCTAGTAGGGCCTAGGCTATCTATTACATATTTATTAATTTCTTAACCTACAATAATAAGCAATAACTGGATCCCTTTTGTCATGTTCAGTGGCCACTCTAAGATATTTTTGTATTACTCCTTTTAAGCTTGTCGGTACTGCCGCAAATCCAGGCGTAGCCATTTTTGTTGTTACTGTATCTATTTCAGAGTAGGGTAGACAACGCCTGTTATTTAGTTCAAATCTTTTTTTTTTCTAAGATACCAATTCCAAACTATCCAAAAGATAGGGTCCACATTTTGTCAATATGAATATAGTGAAATCCCTGGTAGATCTAAGTTTAATTTAAAACGTTTTGGATAAATGATGTCACACGCCAAAAATCTTCAAAAAAGTGTGACGTAATCAAGGGACGAACCCTCCCCAGTTTTATTGGGGGGCGGGGGTCTTTTGGTCAAAATACTGTAGATCTATAGATCTAGTATGTTAGGCCCATATTGCTGGGTAAGTTTGTCTTCAGTATTAGATCTATATTCAAGATTCAAATTATTTGAGAGTATCTAGATCTAGCATCAACCATCTCATTGACGTTTTGATTGGATTGGTGGTGGGGGGGGGGGGGGAGGGGAAAGGGGGCTTAGAGTTTTTTTTTTTTTTTAAGAATGAAAACGTTTTAATAACAAGCTTTTATGTAATAATGGCTCCCTCTCCCCCCCCCCCCCCCCAAAAAAAGTCCACCGCCCCCTTAATAGAATTTATATAGAAAAAAATATTTTTATCAGTGTCTGCCCTCTTCCCCCGGATAATTTAATTTTAATCGGGGGGGGGGGGGTGGTGGGGCGGTGGTAGACGTTGTACCCAAAGAGGTGTCAGAATGAAACTCGACATGCAGACAACTTCTAAGATTAGACCAATAAATTAGGCGGAAATGTTTGTTTTTAATATCGAGTTTCGATGACGTCATTATTTTTTAGGCATTTCATTTCGTTTTAGGCTAGTAGGCTGTGTTGGCCTACCATATGTATGTAAACTAGCCTAAGTGATGGCCAAGGGAAACTACTCTTAAATTCTCCTTCATAATGGCCGCAGATTTAAAAACAAAACATAGGCCTAGCAAGCAAACTTTGTATGTATTTGTATTAATAACACATTCATTGTCAGCCGTTGCTATCAGGTAGATCTAGAGATCTAGATATCTAGATCTAGACTAGATCTAGAATATCTAGTCTAGAATCTAGATTCTTCGTGAGTCGTATCTTAAGTTCTTAACACTTTAAGTAACTAAGTAATAGCGAGGCTCACTAACTTGAAAGCGTCCTTGGTTGCTAACCAGAACATGGCGTTAGGATCGGACCATGACTTCCGGCGAGTTTTTCGACTTAGTTCCAGGGACCTCCTTGGAATTACTTTTAAAAGTGTTTACCACGAGCAAAATGGCAGGTTTTCACGTTATAAAAACATGCTATAGGTGGCAAGTCGAAATATGCCAGAAAAGCATTTTCAAAAATTGCTTTGGAGAATGTAGGCTAAATTTAAAGTCGGTGTCATTCAAAATAATATAACTTTTTAAATATAGATCTCCATATCACAAAATTGATTTCCAAAGTAAAGCATTATTAGTTTTATCATTCTATGAAAAAATAAATCAAATATCTTCAACACTTTTTTTTATAAGATGTGTCCAAAAAATGACAACCAAATTTTTTTATTTTTTTTGACCACGTGACCGCTATTTGAATGGATACGTTTACCTGGCATGGTTTTTTATTTTGCTCTTTTGTACAATAAAAAATGTTATAAAATTAAAGAAATAAAAGAATTCAAACATCACTTCTGTCTTGTCTTTTTTAAAATTCTTTTCTGATGACATTCTCTTAAATTTTTTCCCTCTATAAATATATCCCGACGATAGACGGGCCAATTCTACTTTTAGGAACTCTCTTGTAAAAAAAAATTAGATCTATTTCATGGTCAATTAAAAAGTTAAACCCTTCAGCTTTTAAGCAGGTTGTCATGGATGGATCCCTCATACCATAGCTGTGAGTGACCAAAAAATTTAAAATTCAATAATTTAGTCTAAAACTTGCAACAACTCCCAAAATTAGTGCCTAGTGGATAAAGTATGGACGTTTTTTATTTAGTTGTCATGTTTAAGTTGAAAATTGAGTACATTTCAAATTTACTAAGAAAATCTACTAAGTAAGGGTAAAGGTAAAATCTTAGTTTAGCGTCGTAAATTCGGCCAAAACTAGTAATGTGGGAGAGAGTGAATTAATGAATATGTCATTAAATATGAGTATATTTTCGTATATTTTGATAAAGTATTTTAGATAATTGAATAATAGATCACCATTTATGGTTAAATCAATTTAAATATCCTGAAATTAATTTTTATCAACCCTGTTCGAGATAGTAAATTTGCTATTAAAAACAGCAGCCATCTTAAGAAAATGTTATTGAGAGTAGCTTCCCTTTCATTTCTATTCGTATGAAAATGTATTTAAATATGATTGTCTTGTTGTATAGTCCGTATTACAAAGCATTTTTTTTTAATGTGAATTTCCTAACAAACAACTTTATTAATTCTAGAAGCATTGTGAGATGCAACTTGTATCCATGTATTAAATCACGTTTTTTTACTAATGTTTATTTGATTTTACTATTACTATATAATTTGAGTTTTTTCTTATTGTTTGAATGTTCACTATTTTCATTTCAGGTTTTTCTTTTCATCAATTAGTAATTCTATTGTAACTTATGAAATTTTTTTTTACTTCTCTTTACCTTAATTAAACCCCAACCTCCGTCATATTTTTGTCGTAAATGTCACAACAAGTCATAATGTAAAAAATTACGCTTTCCTCTGCCTTATCTAAGATCTCTAGCCATAATTTTGACAACAATAAATGTTTGTCATCATTTATATATACAGAGAGACAAAATGTATTATCCACCAGCTTCCCTCGTAAAACATCATCTAAAACAATGAGCCAGTCCACCCCTTAAGTGAGTGTTGTCATTATGGTCGATCGCAAGTCTCAACCTGCCAGACACATTTTGGTTATCCTTTGTTGTCAAAATGTCAATATCAAGTACCCAAGTGAGTGATATGGGGTTGTCCATAAATGATGTCACATATGATTTGCTACGGGAGTGAGTGAAGATTTGTGACGTCAACTCAGGCGGGTCCACAATTTATGACGTGTCGGTCTCATGAAAGGAGGTGAACGGGGAAAAATACCTATGTGGTTGATGGAGAACCTCTGTAATGCTTTGTTCAATCAAAATAACGATAAATAAGCATTAGTATATGTATACCTTGCTTAAACGAATCATCACAAATGTTGCAAGCCTGCTAGTTTAAGACATTTGGCAAAACGGCCGCAACACATTATCCCCGTCAAAAAGTCTTTCCACCAAATGCCTGCCGACGAATAAGCCGCGTCTAATGCGGGGCGTTAGGAATACGGCCATTAGCATGGGCCGCGTTGGAGCACCAGTAGGCTATCGGGCTGTATAAGATGACGTAAATACTTAAATTCAACTTCGCTAAACTGCGCGAAAATTTAGTAATGTTCCATCGTTTGAGGAAATTTATTTTCTTGGACTTAAATTGAATTATCATGTTTACTGTCTGGCTCTTAATTTCCGAATATCACTTTTAATGTATCAAGATTCAGAACTATAATTTACTTTAATATAAGTGTCATCTTATAGTTTATTGTGCTTTTTATAAAGCGCAGAGCAGCTTCAAAATCGGACGCCCATCCTGTTTTCACCCAGCTTCTTTTGGAGCTTAATATGGGTAGTCTAGTTCTACACGGTGAGAGCTTAATACATTTTTAAAGGGCCGAAAGTCTCAAGACAGCAAGCTTGCTGAAATAACTACGTACGTTTAAATGGACGAGTGATAGATGTGTTAGGGGCTGTTTAATGAACACCAACTTATGTAATCAAATTAAACGTCGCAAAAGCGTCAAAAAGCCAGTGTTTGTTGTTTTTTTTTTCTATAAAATTAGCCTAACGGTCGGCGGTACCGGTACATGACGTCACGTGCGAGCGTTAACTCGTTGACGATGTGCTAAGTGGGGGAATGAAAAAGGTGGGGTTCAAGAAATGCGACTAGGCAAGCTTTTTACATTTCTTGACCCTTCTTAATAGTTCTATCGTCTCCACTGAGAAAATGGATCACCGATGAATGACGCGTCATACTTCTACAGCTGGTCTTTCTCCCACAACCATCCCCTGTTTTCACGAAAAAAAAAAAAAACCTGACCCGTCTCCAAAATCACATCGCTGAGTTCTACTCAACCTCTCCCCGCCACAAATCACAATTTCTATCTGAAACAATATGTTCATATGTTTGCTCTGTAATAATTCACGCTGTCATTAATATCATAAGAGCGACGTCATTTATGTGCGATCTAATATTGATTTGATTACTGCAAATAAAGTGTTCAAAAGTTCGACCTCCCAACAATTGTTGTGGTCTTGGATGCACACTATTAAGTCTGAAAAAGTCTATTAGTCATTCATGTCAACTATATTTTAAAAAAAGAAAAATTACTATACAGGGGGTCATCCATAAATGACGTCACGCTTTTTTGACGATTTTTACCCCCCCCCCTCCCCCACACGTCGTCACAAAAAGCCAGACCCCCCACCCCCCTAAAGTGACGTCACACCTCAGCCTACAACCCCCCTCAAAATTGCAGTTGAATTGTTTTTAAACAGCTATATTTTTCCAAAATCTTGTCTGAACTCTGTCAAAATAGAGTATTTTAATCAATTGTTATTACAATGTATTAAAACAGTTTTCTACGCAAAATTACGTCTAAAATTCGTCACACCATGTGAACCCCCCTCCCCCTCATCACACAACGTCACAAAATTACGGACCCCCCTCCCCCCTACGAGTGTGACGTCATTTATGGACGACCCCCAGGCATGTATTAAAACAATACAAAGCAATCATATTAAACCACAAAATCAACACAAAAGACATGCGAATAGACAATTTATTGTTTTTGAAACATGGCCGCTGCTTGAATTTACTCATTGTTGTCTCAAACGGGGTAGTTTAAAGTTTATTCCAGGATATTTATGACTGGTTTGGTCTTGGATTGTGATTTGTTATTCAATTATCTGTTATATTATGTAAAATATGACATAAATATGGCCAAATGAAAGAAATATTCATTAGTTACCTTCATCGCACATTACTAGCTACGTTGGAATTTACGACGCTAAACTAAGATTTTACCAGGGTAAAACTCCATTTCAGCGTATTTTATTCTCCGTTGCTTGTTTACCTCCAGTTGAGCGTATTTTATTATAACAACCGAAACACACCAAAACATTAGGAAAACACGATTTATTTTTTGTATTGTATTTTTGTTTTAGCAAATGAATAAAAATGAATATTTAAAAAAACACGACTTGTTTATTTGTATTGTATTTTTAAAAAAAAAGGCATTTGTCTCATGGTGAAACTGATACACTGTTAATCATTCTGTTTTATATTTTTGTATTTATGCAACAAATGTACAAACTCTGTGTTTTTTAATTTGACAGTTTTGCTAAAACTGAAAAAAATATTTTACTATAGAGTTGTATGTTATTTAAATTCATAGTAAATCTACCATCCTTCTCTTTTTTGTATGAGTAAATTTCTGACTTTTAAAAAAAATTGATGTGGGGTCGTCCATAAATGACGTCACACTCGTAAGGGAGAGGGGGGTCAGCAATTTTGTGACGGTGTGTGATGAGGGGGAGGGGGTGGGGTTTCAGATGGTGTGACGTCCCTTTTTTGCATTATAAAAAAGCAATGTTAGAAAAACAAGTTTTAGCCGTTATTTCACGTTTTAGAAAACGGTTTTAATAAATTGTAATATGAATTGATCAAAATACTCTATGTTGACAGAGTTCTGACAAGATTTTGGAAAAATTATCGATGTTTTAAGAAAAATTCAACAGAAATTTTGAGGGGGGGGGGGGTTGTAGGCTGAAGTGTGACGTCATTTTAGGGGGGGGGGGGGGTCTGACTTTTTGTGACGACGTGTAACGGAGGGGAGGCGGGAGGTAAAAATCGTAAAAAAAGCGTGTCGTCACAAAAAGCAAGACCCC